AGACAGTTTGGGAAGCATTTTGAGTTTTTATCATTACAGTGCTAGAACATAACAATGCTTACATGTTTTGGAAGAGACAAACTACAGAAAAATACCTAAGAGATCGGACAGGCTTGTGGACACGCTGGCAACATAGAAAAAAAACCTTGAGAAATTAGGAAGAGTAGCTTGGCCACAACAATAGTAAGAGGAAATAAAGGCTGCAATATAACACAGAGCAGGAGACAAGGCAGGAAATAAGAATACAAGAAGCAAGGACATGCATCTCTGCCCTGTGAAATTACAGAACTACTAAAAGGAAATGGAAACAGAACAAAACATTGCTGCTGCCTGAAGTGTTCTGTCCTTTTTTAATTTTTTTTTTCTTATGTTTATTAACTGAGTTCTGACTTGCTCAAATTGGAAGTGCGGATGGTATACAACACCTGTACTTCAGCACCCAGTCTTCCATAGAAAAGAATTTGAATACTAATGTCTGCAAGCTACCACACGCTGAAAGCAGAGGAACCTTTCCCCTCTTTCTGTCTGCGATAACAGCCAGGAGTTCACCCTCACATATTTCAGCCTTTTGTCTAAGAAACAATCCTGCAAGCAATTCTGTGGAAGTATTTTATACATGTAAGAAGTTGGAGATCTAAACACAAGTACGACCTAGAAATCTGGTTTCAAAGAGCCCTGTAGTTTTGCTGTCTTTCCCTATACAACGTGAATCTGCAGCTCTAGACTTAGTCAAGAAGATGCACCGAAAACAAACATTTTGTCATCTCTGCAATATTCGCAGAATTCTTTAAAAAGAATCAACTACACATTTTATGTTAGTTTTCTGCCACTAAAACACAGCCAGAAATTATTCTTCTGCTAAGGAGTTTGAAATCCACTGGGTCCTGGAAAGCTCTGACCAGTCTGCTTCTCTCCAAGCCAAACACACCGCAGAGCTACGAGGAGCAAGCCAACCAGCTACGTTTACACAGAGCATTGCCATGTTGTTGCATATGGGACCCAGGGGAGACTGCAGAACCGACTGTACAGCGCCAGGACAATACCACATCTGAAGATTGTTCTATCACCCCACATGAGAAATACTTTTAGCCGAGGTTTATTGCAAGTAGTACATCAAGTGTTTGTGTAAAGAATTTAGAGGAAGCAAGAACTGGTCAGAGAGTGAGGTTTTTTGTTTGTTTTACTCCAGGAACATAACAAATAATCTTAACTGAAAGGAACAAACTTCATATTATTGAATAATTTACAGGCCTCTCCTTCCTGACTGTTTCTAGAATAGCAGCCAGTTCTGTTTAAAAAACTTCTACAAGTATGATCGAGGCTTTTCCCCCCCTTCCTTTTTAAATTTCAAGAGACCTTTCAGACTAAACAAAGCAACAAGTCTCAAGTTTCATTGTCCTTTGCAGCAATCAGAACAGCCATGCAAGCTGTTTTGACAAGTCCTTTAATCTTAAATTGTTTCTTCTAATAGCACCAGCTACAAAACCAGCACAGTTGACATTACACTATAGTTAAAAATAAATAAAATATTTCTCTCCCATTTTATCCAAATGAAAACTTTGCTTTGCACATTACCTGAAAAGTTCACAGGCAGCTCAGACAGCTCCAGCAGAGTGTAACAAGCAGTTAAAATAGCAATCATTGCAATAATCATTTCTACTTAGAGCACTGGCTAGCCCCATGGCAAGGCATGACTTCCCCTGGTTTTTGGAATAGGGGTGCCAAACAATTAATTATTTTACCTTCAGGAAAACAAAAGCAGCATCCTAAAGGAGGGCCAGGGCAGCAAGAGGTACAACCATTCTCTCTTCTATTCACAGGGCATTCGAACACTGTTAAGGCAAATTTGTTTGCCTGGAAGAATATAAGCATAGTGCACGTAGATTTGACAAGTATAACAGAAGGTAGGAGTTCCTCGCTCCTGAAACCATCAGTGCTCACAAGGCCCTCTTAAAACAGCAATACTTGACAAGAAGAATAACTGTTTAGTTTGCTTTGGCAAAGTGTAGCATAAGAGTTTCCGAATACCAGGACCAATCCCAAGTCTCAGAGTAAACTCTCCATTTCAAAAACTTGTCTGCTTGGAGACAGCAGCTACCATAAAAGTGTGGAACAAAGGCAAGTGCTATTTAAAAGGACAGCCGATTCCTCACCTCAAAGCAAAGCTGACTCCTCTTTAGTTTAATTCTCTGAACCAGACTCTAATCAGAATTCCAACAGTTTTGCCCTGATTCGATCTCTAGGCAGTTTGTTTATTCAGTTCATCCTAAGAGGCATTTTATACTGGTATGTATAATAAGGAACTAATATATATAATTTGGATTAATATATTAATATAATTAATATGGATTTATATAACCTTAGATGTTAAAGAGAATATGTTGATCCTCTTTCATTTGGACACCTTTCTACATTCACATTAAGACAGATGAATTCAAGATTTTTCCTCATAAGGACGAAAAATTACGTATCTTACAGCAAACTCATGTGTTCCAATCGGTGGCTTATTTTCAGCAAAATTGAATAATTTGATATTTAAATAATTTGAAGATTTTGTTATTTATATAATCCAAACCAACAGATTCTGGAACTGTGTTTTGTAATTGGCAAAATTTCACAAGTCTGTAAGACTCAGTCTAATCACAGATTAGACTGTCAGAAAAGACAGAAATGCTTCAGAAAAAAAAAAAAACACAAATGCCAACATTCTCTTTTCTACTTTCTGTATGGACCTAATAAGGCAGCAAAGGAGCAGGAAGGGTAAACCACAGTGGACTGGCCACTTAGGAAAGGAGTTTTGTTGTGCAACACCCACAATGCCTGGAGACCAATGCCCTCAAACTGGTACCTCCAAACAAAAGCCATTTTGCTAAAGATCACTCAAAAATGAAGTATTCTTGGATACCAACTTCAGCTATTTCTACTCTAATGAATAACCTACAGAGAGGCTGGATATAATGCATTGTAAAAACAAATTATGTTTTCTTTCTAATATAGGCATGACTAAAACCTTACCAGTGTATTTATGAAAATCACAGCAAATGGCCATGGATAGAAAACAAATCCCTCCTCAAGGCAATATCAAAATTCAACCCCCACTGAGTGCATTCTAACTTATGGACAAAGAGGTCCCTTTCCTTCTGTCACCTGTTTCTTAAACCATTGTGTCCCCACAGTTTGAAGAAATACAAAATACTTTTTTTTCAAGTATGCATCCATCCATATTCAGAGGAAATCAACACATGATTATAGCCTCTTTTTTTCATATATTTGATACATTAAACTCTAAAAATATATCTATTTTTAAGCCTACTGAGGTTCATCTCTCTAATCCTGCTCTGGATGGGGAGCAATCACAGACTGCACAAGCACTCCTCCCCAGCTAGTTTTATTTTTCATGCAAGACTGTTGTCATGGCTTCTCCTCCCACCCTGAGCATACTTCGAACCCTAGTAAAGGCTTCGAAAACTGATTTCCTTAAGACCTTACCAAATTGGATCTACATGGGACAAGTATTTCCTCTGAAGCCTTTGCCTAAAACACAAGCAGGGCCCAGAGGCTACTCACTGGAGGTTTTGTCAGTCCCATACACTCTGCATCACTACACCTAAAGGAATAGCCAGACTAGCCAGCAGGACTGGCATCTTGTATGAGCTATCAAATTATGCATAATTTTCCACTGACCACACATCTTATTTTGTTCTGCTTTCTTCAGCAAGTGTCTGCCCCTGGCCATTTTTTCCACAGATATCCCTGGCTCTTTTTTCTGTCTTGACAGGACGAGCAAGTCAACATACCAAAGCCGGTAAGGGGACATTGCTCTCCACCCACACTTCTGAGTTCTTCGATAAGGACATAGCACAGAAGGAACACATCCTTCCTATCCACTCTTGCTTTTTGCAGTCACTACCCGCCTAATATCTACAGGTACATCAATCAATGCCATTGTCTCCCCTTCTTGTAGAAACTTTAGATTTAGGAGTATGGTAGGGAAAGGATCTACTGTTATTGTTACAGAAATAAGCATTCATTTTTCATCTCTTTAGGGCCTTGGTAAAGCTATCAGCAACATTCTGTGTGAGAGTTGGAAAGTGACATGGCTAGTATAATTCCTTATTAAAGAGCCTCCTTTCTCTGTTTGTACACTAAAGCACATCTGAAATATTACTGCCATAGCTGAGGTAATTCTCAGAATAGCAGCAATCACCACAATTTGAGCATGATAGTGTTACTTAACATAGCAGTCACAAGTTGATTGTCCTAAAGCTGCACAGTTACAGCCACTGCTTTTTTTTTTTATTGTGTGGTCAAAGCAGTGTCATTAAATCCAAGTCACTAAACCAGAGAAATAACTTGCTCATGAGAGAGACTTTAATTGGGTTAGCAAGTTGGCTGTTGACCATGCAGTCAAACTATCATAAGAACCAGACACCATCAAGTAATCAGCACTGGGAATTGAGTAAAGCAGGAAGGGGGAATTGGCTCATGAAATTACACCCTTGCTGGACTTCAGACATGAGCAGGACTGCACCAGAAGATCCTCACAATTGGCTCCAAACATTTTCACACTCAACCACGTTCCTGTTATGCTGAACATAATGAAATTTGTCTCAGTCCACATGGAGTTCTTCCAACCAAAACCTTTAGTTATATATAGTATAGAGAACTTGAGATTTATTCTGGCCAAGAAATAACTATGAATGTTGTATTATATTCTACTACGAAAGTAGAATAACATTTCTACTTTGTATTTACTTGTATTTATAACATTATTAAATTACGTATGGAGCTAAAGAAGCATAGTTATTTGGTACTTGCAGTCCTAAGTTGTTACCACTTCCAACTCCCTTTAGCAGCACAAGGGCAGGAAATTACAAAGAGCTTAAGGTTGAGCTCACTACAGTGGCCACATATCTCTGAAAGTAAAGACAACTTGTCTAAACCTTTGAAAGGAAGCTCCAATAAGCAACTGATGGACAGAAACTGTAGTTGGTTCATACCTGCAGCTACGCACCTCTCTAACACTTCCAGTCTTCACTCTAAAAGAAAAGAAACAAGAAACATTGAGTACTCTCAAGTTAGAATCATAACAACAATCATTACAACATGAACTGCATCTTGCAAACAGCTGAGAAACATGAAAGCCCATTTCTAGTAACAAGTTATCATATGGTAGTAACAATCTTATGCAGACTTCAAATAAATAAATAGAAGGGTACAAAAGAAAGGGGCAGCAGATGTCTTGTTTCCTATTACTATTCTGTGGATTTCTCCTACCTGTGTGGCTTTTCATCTCAAGACAGAAGCAGTGTTACCACCAGCAGCACGCACAGTCCTAACCTACATTACAGTTTGAGAGCAGCAGCACTAACAGATGACAATGACCCTGCAGATGTGAACTCTAATGTAAGACAGTAGAGATGGGAGCGTATGAAAAAAAGCTCTGAGTTAGGTAACACAAAGAACACCACAAGGAACAAGTGTTATTTCTTAAGCAAATCAAACAGGAACTATACAGACTCTTTGCACTAACATCTTGTAAGTCGGAGATGCTACTCAACCATTGACCCATAACACAAGCCAACATATATCGAAACACAAACTTTGGAAGTATTTATTTATTAAGAATTTCTTCTCTGCTTCCTCCTAGGTTGTACGCTATTTTGCGGAACTACATTTATGGCTGTCTAGCAACATTTAACAAAAAATCCACATCTGCTTACATATCTATAGGCAAACAACCAAAACCAGTATTCATCTGCAATGCGAAGAGTTTTACAAGGCTATGTGAGTGCCCACATTTTCCCTGCTTTGCAGGCCTCTCCATAACCTTTGTTCTATATTCTTTCAGAAGTGTGCGTAAGTGATCCTTATCCTCTTCTAACTTATCTTTTAATATACTTGGATATTTGTCACATGTACTCATGCCTTCTTTTCCAGAAGGAGATCTCTTGAGATTTTATATCCTTATTTTAGAGTCATTTTAAAAATCATTCCTAATTAATTCAATTGTTTTAATTAAGTATTATACCCGCTAAATGAACTCATAAGCCTGAACACAACAAAAAATGAGTTTTCTTATAAAACTAGTTAAGAAAAATAAAAACCAATCCAGGAATTCAGAGAAATTTAATTTAGTCATCTGAAATGTGCATTTTCAAAGTGATGAGTTCATTTATCTTTTCTAGAATATTACTGAAAACTGACTACTGGTCAGTTTACATTTTTATACTTTACATTTTTGTTTGGTTTCAGAATAATGAACTCAGAAGAAACATTCATAACATTTCAGAATAGCACTACCTCCTACTAGCAAATATTTTACCTGAGTACACCTCTTTTCACCTCATCCACGTTCCACTGCTTTTTTTTTTTTTTTTTTTAAGTTTAAATAAAGCATATTTATTTATGGTCAAAACATGGTCTCACAATCCTGCTAATGGCCCTAGCTTAAAAACATGTAATACACATTTTATTTTCTCCTCCTTTCAATCTCAGACTTTGCAAGGTATTTAAGGCCTATGGAGTTGTTGTAAATGCTGAGTTGTATTGCTGTGATAATGAACTTTCAGTAAAACCTGAACTACACAGCTCACCAATCATGTAAATGCCTACGAATACAACAGTAAACAACTTTTTAAATGTTGAAAAGAAAACCTTCCCTTAGCACATATAACTATGTAACATTAGAGAACTAATTTAAAAACTTCAAAGGAGATGAAGTGCAGCTAACATAGCCAGAGGAACCCATAATTCTTGATACCTTTGGAAAATAGAAGACATCTGATTGAATCAAAGAAAATCCAGCGCAATAAAAACTTTATAAAAGCAAGTAGCAAAGCTGATGACCACCTGTCTAGGAGAACGCTCTTAAATCATAAGTGTTTCTCAAACCAAAATTGTTTCAGTGTGGCTGGTAATTGCATGCAGAACATAAACCCACTGAATACTTTATTCAAGTTTACACAGACAGACCTAGCCCAAGGGCCAAAGAATCTGGCAAACCTATTTCTTCTCAAAAGTCAGAACTTGGATACTTCAGATGAAGGCACGTACAGCTGACACGTACCTAGCAAGGTGTGGAACAGAGCAATTTCTGTAATTAACTGTCCACAGCATTAGGCTTTAAGTACAAACTGCAGACTGACCCCAGCCGAGCATTAGAGGCTGAGAGTTAACCGTTTTCATAGCTGCTTGAGAGTAGGTTCTTGTGTGGACAGCAAAACAATTCATAGGTGTAAATCAGGACATCGTGGCTTTGGCAATGCTTTTCCCAGCAGTTACCCTCCTTGACTGATGTCCTGCACCAGATGCTGCTTCCAACCCCTGCTACGCACAGCTGGGAGGAGCGATGACGCCACGCAACAAGTCCTTGTTGAAAAAGGAAGGTTTAATGCCTAGCCCTGCCAGAGCCTGGAATGACAAACTACTCCTGGTGATAAACAAACAGCTGTAACTTCTGGTATGCCATACAACTCAAACAGAACTGCAGCTGGTAATGAGAATATATGGCTCTGGCCACTAAGTACCAGATGATGGAGACAAGCCCAATAAACCCAGCAATACCACTCTGCTACTTAGTGGGGAAGCTTCAGTCTCCCCAGCACTCAGCACCATCTGTAAGCGATTACCGGATCAATTAATGGATTCTGATCAATGATAATACTGTCACAGTCAGCACTTGTCTAGACCAGTTAGTTCTGATTTCTGATTACACCTTCCAGGAATTTAATGTTTGTGGGATGTCAAGACTACCATTTACAATTAAAGAGTCTAACAGGTGAAACAGACCACACAGCTCGATCTCAGATACATCCTGATGCCAACCATCTCTCACATAAATCAATGTTACGTCTGGCCTCACGGTGGTTTTATACACTTTTAAGTACCAATATAAAACACTTGGAAACATGAACGTAGAGGCTGTGAAGAGGAAGGCCTACACAAAGCAGGTGAAGTTTCACTTACTGCACAGCTTGGGTCCCAACCCACAGGGCGTACACCACTTTCTAGCAAGCATTGCTTAGGAGACAGAAAGACAACAGAGATAGCAAGAAGAAACCTGACAGACCTGGAGGCTCCTACAGTGCCAAAAATTCACCCAAGAGGCAGACACGCTTTCTAATCTGAGAATTTCCCGTCTTCTACTGCAATCTTGACACTGCCCAAACCTCTCAGCACCGTGCTCGATGCCAGCTCCCAGTCACTGTGCCTGCTCACTTTATTTCTGCAGCCGGTGCTGTCAAATATTTCCTTCAGCATCGCAGGCAAAAATACTAAGCTGCACCCAGGTTACCAGACAATCTGTACAGCTAGTAATTAGACCAGTTGAATTACTCGCGACAGCTCCGTCAACTGTCAGAATTTACATTTGTTCGATTAACAGATGCAAAAGGAAGAACAGAACACAGAATAAAAGAGGTACACATCTGGGGATCAGCACAGATTAGAACAAAAAAGGAGACTGGAAATCTCCTGATTGCTTGATGGATACTGCACGTGCCCCAAGAAGGCCTGCCAGCTGTAGTACAGAGTTTAATGTCTTATTAGGGGTAGAAGTTTGAGGTGTACTGAGCAGAAGCAAAATTCTCAGCTTAAACACAGTGCCTACTTCTAGAAGCAACAGCACTAAACTTTAACAACCTCATCCATTTCAGCCAGAAGATTCAAACACTAACACTTTCACTTTCCTAAGTGTAATGTTTATAAACACAGCTTGCATAGCTCCTTGTTGAAATAAGCCTGTTATAAGGACAGCTAGGTATGTACTTTGTTTCCATGTGATCCAAGAAAGAATAGACTCAAACACAGAGGGAAAAGATCTGTGGTTAAGTCTCCTCACAAAGATCCTGAAACTGATGCCATCACCATGCTGTACTGATGCACCCAGTGGGTAAAAGAGGACAGAGTGCACGTGACCATTTCCAGCATCTACTGTCAGCTTCAGACAGAAAACAATTTTGAGGCATCCCAATTTCTAAAATTCAGAATCTGAGTAAGAAATTGAGTAGGCCTGAAATTCCACGTGTGCAAAATGTTGAAGGATAAACACTCATATTTTGTTTCAAAGCAGCCCAACTAAGAAAGACTCATTTACCTTAAGCTTGTGTGTCCCTTACTTGGCTTATACTAGACAAATACTTGCTAAGAACTCCACCACGCAGAACCTGCCATTGCCATGCCTGCAAACTAAAGAGGAAAAATAAGCTCAGTGATTTATTTACCTTTTTTTTTTTTTTTTTGGTAACGAGCACATCACCAAGTCCTTTGCAGAAGCACATGGATATAACACTCAAATTATTCTCATTTACATCCACAAAGAACTGGCGTCAATGCTCTATTTTAAAAAATGAATATTGATTCAAATAACTTTCAAAACCAGGTAATTTTTTATTAACGCTTTGAGAGATTTAGCATTGAGTGTATAGAACTGAAACTCTCAAAAATATTTCATACTATTTCTTCATCAGAGGCAAACACAACGTTGCCGTGGGAACATTAACTTAGGAATGTCCTGACTTTTGTTCAAAAACCCAAGTGCAGTAAGATCTATTTCATTGCAAAGGAGTTCTTCCCAAGCTTCTGCTCAAGCTTTCTGAAGGTTTTCTCTTTTGTCCTCACTTGTGTAACAGTTTCTTTATTTTTTATTTTTTTGGCAATATTTACCAGCCTCTTCAACATTAATTTATACTTTATTCATGATCTTTATCATGAAAACCACTGCATGTATTTTAGAAACACATTTTTCTCTGCAATAATTCAGTCTAAAACACTGAAAACACATTCATAAATAACAATATGCAGCGCTCTGAAACATTTTTTTTTTCTGAGCACCATTCACAAATACAGCACCATGCTTAAGATGAACTTTTCTCTGCCTGAAGAAGCTTAATTGTCATGCTTTGCCATGAACATCTACAGAACATTCAGAGACTTTTTCCAACCAACTTCAGTCGCCTTCTACTCCACCCTCAAGGCTCATTTGGAGGCCCTGAAACCCCCCATCCAGGCTGCTAATTTTTTGTGTTTAATGCACTGG